CTTTAATTAATATTACTGTTTGACGATTTTAAATGTAAAATAAATTTGTATTCTAATTTAATTTTAATACAAACAAATCGGCAAAATCTGAGAAAAATTTACAACCTAATACAATTATTTTAAAAATATACGTTAAAAATATACAGGCTCGAAGAGGCACATATTCTTCATGAAATTTATGTTCTTGAGGATCGCATAAAATGTATTGTTTACATTTGAAAGCACGTAAAACGTACTAATCAATGACATTATTTATCAGCGAGATAGGTCCAAATTCTTCAGACAGTAGATAAATCGTTTATTGCGTTTCTCCTTTTCGCAAAAAATACAAAATAAAAATGAAAGGAATCCTTTGCGTTGGTCATGGAATGATTTCTCGTCATTTTTCATGATTTTAATTCGAACATTTAATATTTGTATTTAAATTGTAAAAGAAGTCGATAAAGTTTATTGAATTATAAGAAACTTTTATTATTTTTCATTTCAATTTGTGAAAGATGCTTTGTGTGTGTGTGTGTGTGTGTGTGTGTGTGTGTGTGATGCGAATTGATATTATAACATTATTATTTTATATATTTTAAGACGACGATAAATGTATACTACAACGAAGCTGCGATAAAAGAACTCGAAGTATGTATTAGTAGTAGCAGCATACCAGATGAAATTTGTAATGTTAATATTGTTGTATATACACATAAAAACTTTCAGGCGTGCTGGGAAAATTCATAAATAAATAAATGATAGTAGTGATAGTTTAATCAAGTATCGTTATTATATTCTTAATTAATATATAAGTATGTTGGTCTTGCTTAAATCTGGAAAAGAACACAAATTACTTTGAATAGTAATTCATATTATTTTAAATCTTTCAACCGAATTTAACTTTTAACGCTTCGTTGGCTCCTCTACTGAGACATTTGTCATTTGTTCCATAACTCCGTTTGATTAATTAATTAATTAATTAATTGTCATCATCAGTATTTGCAATTTCTATCTATAATTAAAAAGTGTTAGATCAATAATATAGATGTAAAATTAATTTAAGACCCTTTTATGGCAAAAAGCATGCAGAAGAATCAATGATATGATAAGAATTTTGAAATGAATGATAGTGAAGACTAAGTCGAGTCATAAATAACTTGCGTTTTTTATGAGACAAAGAATCGACACTTTTCATGGAGTTTTTTTTGCACTCTTTGCATCTGTTGGACGTATCTATTGGATTTTGCTCCAATATTACCTTTAAAAGGTTCGTCAAAGTCGGAAAGACGTTCTGCACTCGGTTCGTCTTTTAAGCTCATATCTCTACAACGGAATTTTACAAACCAATTTCTGACTGCCCTATTAGTTATCAATCCTGTACCGTATATGCTGCATATTTTTTCAGCTGCCATCTTAGTGCTATTGCCTTGTTTCAATTCCTAAAGCATTACATGTCGAATATTCACTTTTTACTATCCATTTCAGAAGTTCAGAAAAACGGTTAAATGTAATATTCACTAAATAAAAAAGTTGACAGAAGACTAACTGAATCTATATCACTATCTATATAGTGATACAGAAAATCCGTTTGTTTCGGTGACATAGTAGGTAAATACGAAAAATAGATTCTACATAGCCGCATCGGAAGTTACTTATGACTCGACTTAATTATTCTGATAGATCAAGTAGTGAAAGCCCAATTATATTATGTAAGAAACAAAGAATGAAAATTATTGTAAGTGAAAGTAAAAGTAAAAATTTGTTCATTAGAAGTCTTATATTATATGAATGACGTGATATTACATAAGAATACATGTTAGTGTATTATTCCACTAAAAGTTAAATGTAATTGTTGGCTAGATAAATTTAATAGGTGATGTTGATCAAGCTGATTATTAATGCTTCCAATTATGTATGCTTCCAATGCTTCCTATTTTTTTAGGAGGAAGGGAGAATGGAGATTTCATTTATAAATTCATACATTTTGTGTAAAACTGTACAACGCAGCAACAATGAGTAAGTTCTGACACATTTAAAATATCTAAAATTTTAGTTGATCTATTTATAAAAGATTTCCGTCAGAAAAGAAAGAGAAGAATTTCTACATCAATTTTTTAAGCTAAATTAAATGGAAACTCATTAAATTAAAACATTAAGGACCAAAAAGAAATCTGTAAGATATACTCCTGGAATACACGTTTTTGGGCAAACTTGTACGTTCTAAAATTAAACTTTCGGAAATTGTATAAATAGGATGTATTATTTTAGATATTATTGAAAAAAATATTTGGTTTTTAATAATTATAATAACTTTTTTGCTTAAAAACTTAATTTTTATACGAAATTTATAGAAATTGTACAATACAAATATCAAACGGGACGTGCAACACGAGGAAACTTGTGAACGGTCCTTAATGTGTTAGAAGCGTCGTTGTAAAATAGGGGCTGTGTTGTATGTTTATAAACACAAAAGAAAGGATAGTAGGTGTCAAAGAAGTGATTATTGCGATACTTGTTCAGGTTAACTGAAAATGTTACAGGGGGATATGATGATTGTTTCCAAAAGATGTCTAATACCAGGAAAAATTACAATAGATCATGTTTTAATTCACAAAATAAATAAATCAAAAAGACATGCACAAAGTACGAGCGGATTTTTCTATTTTAAATAAAAATTTTGTGTGTCAGATGACACTCTCTCCCCGAAGCAAAAATTTGCTGAAATTACTTGGTAGAAAAACACGCGAGAGCGTCACAGTTTAAAAAGTATTATCTATTATAAATAATAAATTAAACACATCTGCTGGTTATTACACCATATTTAAATGTACAATTAATATGGAGTTAGTTTGGATTTATTACACTTCATAATATAATTTCATTCGTTAACCATTGTATTTTTAAAAATTGGTGAGGCGTTAGTGCTTTCATGGCAGCTAATAGCCTCACGGTTTCTACAATCATGTAGTATTGGGTATGTCTTGATTTCCATACCTCGCCGTTCCGGAGACAGTCCGGTACGCTATATAAGCAGCGAGCACCCTTTTTTAATAAACGTTCAAGTTCTGTGGTTAATTATATACGTTTTTCATCACATGATCATAAGTGAGAGAGCATTAATATGTAGAGCCATCTATTGACTCAATGCCGAACTAATATTTTCTCTTAGAATTGCATCGTACAGACGTCAATTTTACCAATTTACAATTTAACTTTAAATATTTAAAGAATTCATATGTTCAATATGTTTTATTCATTTACGATAATATTTAAATCTTCGTATTGTTAATTTTTCATTATATTTAAATAAAAAAAAAAAAATAGAAATTTATATTGCAACGACGTATCAAATTTATTAATGATTAATTGTGACCCTATTTAAATGACACTTTACATTACAAATTTTCCATTTCATTAAAGTAAAAATGAGATAGTGAACAAGAACAAAAATAATACAAAGATATAAAATTTGAATTGAATTTATAATAATCAATGAAAAGCAAAAAACGGTAATATTATATGTTGTACGTGTTTTCTGCATATACATACACATACATAGATGCATACACATATGTATATATGTTACATGTAACAATTCCTATACATAAAATGTGTAATATATTGGAATGTCGGAATTTTCTAATAATTTTTCAACATAAAATTAGAAATGTCGCGTGACACAAATATGTACATAACTTATAGGTAAGATTATAAGTATGTGCATAATGCATGCAATACATACATATGTGAATACATAAACGCGAGATAAAACAATAGCCAAATAAGGAACGTGTTGAAAGAATTTGTGATACAGTGCAGCAGGTACTGTGCTGTACATGATGCTGTCGTGCTTTTGGTAAAGATTTTTCGTTCAGGTTGATTTTAATTATGTAAGTAAATTTATTTTTTAAATTTAAATACACGTTTTAAATTCATTCTATACTCTAGTTTTTGAATATTATTGATGTTTTATCAACCTTTGAGATCATAACGTATAACGTATAAATGTATAACGTATATACATAAAATATATATGTATATGTATATAATATATACTATATATAATAATCTACAATACATACATTACAAACGTTTAAATTTAATTATGACATTTGTCAATGAACCACGTGATTTTTATACGAAATCACGAGAAATCATCATGGACGTTTACTGTACGTACGTGCGTTCTTTGAACGAAATAAAAACAAAAGAAAATGTAAGATAAAAAAAGAAATGTAAAAACATCGCAAGAAGATAAATTGTTAAAGCAGAGATTCATTTCAAATGAGATTACGCCCATCAAGTAAATCTCTCTTTTTCTCTGTGGAAATGTACAGATAATCGATATAGGTTGTTGTCGTTAAGGTAGCTTGAAACCATCATTTCACCCTCGTTCACTTTAGAATTTAATTTTATTTCTGACCTTCTACTCACAAAAGAGACACTACCCTCTTGTCTTTTGCTCTTCTATTTCTTCCAAGTTCTATAAAATTAATAGCTTATTTTCTGAACCCTGTAACTTAAAACGAATTCACCGCACACTTTCTCTACACCCATATTAATCCATCTTCTATGCTTTATCTTATAATTAATAATATGATGAATAGTTGAAAAATCTTTTACAGTGTATCATATGAATATTTATTTTCCTTTTGTTATTAAGAGGAGAAAATAATAAAAATGTGCACAAAATGATAATAAGTTCCTAGATATAGTAATTTCTATATTCCAAGAGGAAAACAAATATTAACCCAAAAAAAGTTTTAAAAGAGATAAATCAATTTTTTATTGCCGAATAAAAAGTTTAGATGATCTTGATAAGATGATTAAAAATTACTTGTCATTAAAATTTAATTCAGGTTATAATAAATTTGCATAGTCAGAATAAACTCTAAACATACAATTTTCTGTATAAAAAAAATTTTCTGTCTAGAAAACAATTTTTTTGTATGTTTAGAGTTTCTGAAAGATAAAAGTTAATAATAATTTTAAAAATGTTCATATTATTGATCATTTACCTGAAGATACGGTATGGCCTTACAAAGTCCCCATCCAAGAAACCAAGTCTCAGTGACATCCCAAAGCACACTAGGCGGCAAACATATGAGAATAACCAGAAGATCAGCAACAGCGAGATTGACGATGAAGTAATTAGTAACAGTTTTCATCGAATGATTCCGAAACACAGCCAAACAGACGAGGAAGTTACCAACGAGTCCAGTGATGAAAATGATGCTGTGCAGAGCTATCATGACCCAATCGGTGAAGTTTGGAAATATATCGTTGTACATGATGTCAAGGTATTCTTCGTCAGGTATACAAGCGTCATTTGTACAATTGCTTTCATTCATAAAATTCATTGAAGAATAAAAATCAGATTTATTCGTGGTATCCGTTAAAAGTGGTAAGACAAATAGGAACCACATAAGAAGGAACACTTTTGAACGATCCATTTTTTCCTCCTCTTTTTAAAAACAGTTTTCTTAACAAATGCAGATTGTGTTTTCAAACTGTTATACAAACCAAAATATGCTGAACGAGTTTTATAGATCAAGAAAGATGAACTACTCAATGTTTATCTCGACGCCTACGTTTTCTTCTTAAAAGAAGTACATATATTGGTAGTGCCCCTTGCGTGCTGTAAATTAAATATGAAAACATGAGCTCGAGGGTCTTCTATATAAGATGTTGGAAATAGTGTATGAACATATATATATATATATATATATATATATATATATATATATATATATATATACATATTGAATTGCACTAATGCACGGGTAGGAAATTTTACAGGTTGACAGTATTCATGATTATTAGTAAATTAGCTTAAGGCATATACATACATATAATTAGATAAGATAATTATTATCTATTGTATTTATTTTATTGCAATATTAATTTATTAACCCAAGCATTTATGAGAGACAACTTATCACTTTAATTGTAAAAGAAATGTGCCGGAATTGGTTTCTTGTCAAAAAAAAGAAATTTCTTTTCATTAAAGAAAACTATATTCAAATATCATGTAAATAAGATTAAAAGTAGTTTTTTCTGTATCATTGAGCTCCAAAAATTAAATATAATTTATTTTAATTTTTTTTTTTTTTCATTTTAGACATGATCAAATTTAAAGTTAAACAAACAAATACAAATATGTAACCGAAGATTAAATATAAAATACAATTTTTTCTTCCTCATTTATTCTTATTTCCTTTTGAAACATTAAAAATATTGTCAAAAAGGTATCGGAACGCCTCTAACGTTCTAGTGCGTAACATAATAAAAAAGCATTGATTTATAATTAAAACAAAGGTATATTTTGTTCTTTATAATCAGAGATTTTCAGTATCTTACCTAATTAACCTAAATTAATTAAATTAAATTGAGTTAGTTGTGGCAACTAATTTGTCGTTTTGTCGAAGAACTTATTTTTTCTTAAATAATTAATTTAAATTGTTTTTAAATTTATATTTATACCGCAATAGATTACAGACCATAAAGATCATATCTAAATTCATCTAAATTCACTCTTGCTTATAATGAATTCTATCAACTTGTAAAATTGATATCTACACATCTTCTATAAAATATTTTGATATATCGTGCATTATTATTTAATGCTTACCATTTTTTCTTTGATATCATCTGACCACATGTTAGCTTCCTAATGGTTCTGGAACGTTAAAGTTTTTTTACTTTCTTCTATGATTAACCGCAAATAGAATCTTTTTTAGAACTTCTTGAAGTCGAATCAGAAACTTGATACAAAGTTTTTCTTCTTCTTTTCATCATATGAACACACAAACTAACTCCCAAAAGAGTTTGCAAAATGTCAACTCGCAGATTAATCTAACCCACAATGTTTATCCTCGCGTGTTTGAATTTGTCCGAATAAGTTTAATTTACTGTATTATTCTACACAAAATAATCTTGTATGAACGAGATTCACCAGTGTTCATTACCAAAGTTCGATTCGAGTATATAAACTCAATTACACTCGTATACACTTTCCGATCATTAGTTGTTAGCTCAACTGAGCAATAAAGGATGTCCTAGCTATGAATTTCGCATCTAAACATACATATTATCTTTAGATAATCTATTTCATTTTGAAATGAATAATTATTGAATTAATCAATAAGTAATGTCGAAATTTTTAGAACAAAGTGGATCAAAAAAATGCTTTAGATTATTTTACAAATTGGATGTAATCTTTTGTTACTATTTTTAGATCAATTTGTTCTAATTCCAAATAAGTTCTAGAAGTACATTTTTATAATCTCAGAAAAGTAAATGTTATCATAAAAAATCTTCATATAGAATATGCCATTTTTACAATTGTCTCAGAAGTTTTTATTTATTAAAATACTTTTGGTATGCTCCATATTAAAAATTTAAACATCAAATATATTGGCCTATCTAATACACGTATGCAATTAAATTCTCGAAGTAAATCTGTATTGCAAAAAATAAAAAAATGAGTTCTTTTGTAACTCTCAATATCGTAGTAGGGGTAAATACCAGTAGTAATTTATTTTCCTTTTACAAGATTATCTGAAAATAGTGGTAATCCTATTACATGTCTCCTGAATAAACTATTAAATAATCTAATTGAGTTGGAATTTCATATTGTAGAATCGCCTAATTTATTTAAAAAAACTATCTTATTCGATTATCCTTTTATTAAAAAGGATTCTTTTAATTAAAAGATTTAATTTATATAATAATTATTCTAGTTAAAAAATATAATAGAAAAATTAAAAGAGAGAATGATCACAAAGTTTAGGGATATGATTCAAACGTTTGTTTCTAATTTTCCAGTATTAACATTCTACCCAAATTCTTATTTCTATTCAAGATAGCGTGCCTATAAGATAAAATAAAAAAATAAGTCAAACCTTATTTAAAATATTATAATAAACTTGTATGTAATAAAATTGCATAAACAATAAATAATTTTATCTAGGAAGAAATGAAGAAAACAAATATTTTTCATTAACGAAAATACCTATGATTCTGAATTAGGCTAATCTTGTTTTAGTTACGATACATTTAATTATGCTGACGATACGGAGATACTTGTTTTTCTTGGAATACGCAAATGATACTTTACGCTTACGTTTCTATCTTTCTTTCTCACTGACTATATCTATCACCGAGTAAATTAAAGCTTTTCAAGCGCCACAGTGGGCGTATTAAATCTAATTAGAAAATAAATATCCTTTGTAATCTACGTCGTTACACGCAACAGCGAAAGCAAAAAGCTCCTGTGCATCCAAGCACCGAATATGTATGCCCGCGTGTGTACATGCGTACATATGTTCGTAAAAAAAACATGAATGTTTAAATTCAATTTTCAAAATAGTCGTTAAAACATTGATACGGAAAATTTCATAAATTTAATCTTCTTGTTTAAAAAAAAATATGAAAGATTTTTGTGTGTTGTTTTTTTTTCTTGTAATAAATTCAAATCGATCAAATTTTAAATTAAAATAAATTTTATGCATGTGAGTTTAATTGTAAGTAACAAAACTAATTCCTGTATCGCTATTTCAATAGCTTCGTTTTTTATTTCGTTTTATATTTCGTTTTATATTTCGTTTTATATTCTAATTATTCAATTAATCGTTAATATGATGTTAATATGATCAGAGACGGTGCAGATACTCTTTTCACAAAGAAAAGATAAATTTACACAAAAGTACTAATTACGATAGGTAAAAACTTTTGTAATATTAAGAAAAAAGTTTTAAAAGAAATAATAATTCTGACGAAGATAAGATTAAATTTTTTGAAGAAAAGCGAGAGAAAGAAAATGAATGATTGTTTTTCAGAATTTTTACTAACTTGAATTACATCTAAACAAATTTTGTTCTCTTTACTTTTGTAAATTTATTTTTAATTAAGAAAGCTCATCTTGCGTGTGTGTGGATTACCACATCAATGAATGTTGTTACCTTATTTAAAAACTTCTTTTCTCAAACATCTCGCAATCTACTTCTCGGTTTCATTTTTTCTATAACTAATTACTTTTCATGATATTTTTATAATATTTTATAAATAAAACTGTGAACTTCTTTTACGATTATTCCTTAAGTTTTATAAACAATATTCCCTACACGTTCGGATGAAATAACGATTCATTTCCATAATTAAACAACTACGAATCAAACTTTGTATTTATTCACTACACGAGCACGTTCAACAAACGTTAACGACAGTAATTTCGTATCTATTCGTTTACTTACTCTCTTTGCCTATATTTGTATTTACATTAAATGCAACAATTAATGTAAATAATTCGAACGAATAAAATTCGTCTTAAGCAATTTATTGATCCGGTTTTAACTGGATTTTGTTATCATTTTTTAAAAGTATTTATTCAAAACTCGACACAAATCAAATTATTTAGGAAACTTATTCGCAAATGAAAGAAGAAACGAGAATAAGAGACGTGAACACGTCGACGGACTACGCGAAACTGAAGTTACCGTCGTTTTGACGAAGCACGAAGCACGGAGCACGAAGCAGAAGGTAGGACTACACCACCACTCGTGTGTGGGTCACGCCGCAGTCTCTCTGGGTTATTCCTTTCGAAGAATCTTTTTCGTTTTTCGTCTCTAACAAAATCGAATCTCTTGTTCATAGTTTGTATATGTATCATACATACATGTACGTACATTAGAGATTCCAAATTTCTATTTGTTGCATCAATTTCGAGAGAATATTCATAAAAAAAAAAATAATCGGATGCCTTTTAAACTGGATGTGTGAGCTAACACGAGTATTATGGATATAAAAAAATGATGAAATGTCTTAAAACATCGTTGAACTTGTCTATATTTAATATAATAACGTTAAATTGTATCAACATTTTTCGGTATATTCAACATTAACAGAAATTGGTAGAGATGATTTCTTACTTCTGGCCGTTAGTCTAAATGTTACTTTCATTATTATTACCATATTTATACACATATCTTTTCGTTTCCTTATGCTTCTATGAAAAGTGCATATCGGTTTTTTTATTTTTTGAAGTGAAAACTTCTTTAGAATAGGGAGTGATTTGAAAAAAATGAAACGCGGCGACGATGTAACGGAGCGGCGGGCAGCTATGTAACGGCCACGATATTTAGTAAGAAGAGAAAAAGAAACAAACATATAGGTTTAAGCCTGCGAGAGAATGAGACAGAATGTAGCTATACAGTATTTCCTATTCTCGGTCTCCTCTTTATGCTATGCTTCGTAGTTTTTGCTCCTGGTTGTATATGTGTGTGATTGTGTGCGACTGCATACTACGAAGCGTAGACACATATTATTTCGATCCTATACCTGTTTGTAGGTAGGAGCGATAGAAGGGTAGAAGAATAAACAGAGATTACCACGTAGGTATGCAACAAAATTGTAAGGTTCAAACGAACCGACGGTCGAAATAAAGAAAGAAGGTGTGTAATCTGTATTTGTAAGTTGTATATGTGTGTAAGTTTGTGTGAGTCTTTTTTAATTTTACATCAACGATAGTTGTAGCGTAGCGCGTATCGATCTAAACCAGGGGTCGGCAACCTTTTGAGTCGAAAGAGTCAAAAATTTACAAAATTTCAAAGTTTTTAAAGAGCCACAATATTTTTTCTTGCCAACAATAAATAGTACTCGCATCTCTCAGCCGCTGAGAGATAGAATCGGTGCCTAATCCTCGTTAATCGATTCAGAACGATTTTTAAATGTTTTTTTTTTTTGTGATAAAATAAATAATATTTGCGTATTGAACTAAAGAGCCGCAGCTTCACATTCAAAGCATGTGGCT